CTGGGGAAATGATGGGGACAGAACATGTATGGGGTGCTGGCCCTCCCCACTCTCACATGCCCTCCCTCTGGACAGGAAGTTCATCCAGAGAGCCTGCCAGGTGCCAGAGCCAGAGGAGCGTTTTGCAGTAGATGAGTACTCAGACATGGTGGCTGTGGCCAAACCCGTGGTGTACATCACCGTGGGGGAGCTGGTCAACACGCACAAGGTGAGAGCTGTGATCTGCAGGGTGTTGGCCGGGTGGGTGGGGGTTTGGTAGCCCATGACGGGGTAGTAGGCTGGCCCACGGGGGAGCCTGGCTCAGACCCTGCACCTCCTTTTCTTCCTCCATCCTGCAGCTGCTGCTGGAACACCAGGACTGCATTGCCCCCGATCACCAAGACCCCCTGCATGAGCTCCTGGAAGACCTCGGGGAGCTGCCCACCATCCCTGACCTTATCGGTGTGTGCCCCCCTTGACAGCTGGGGCCAGCTGGGGGGCCTGCAGGGAGGGAGAGACAGGCAGGCCAACAGCAAATGGGTGTGTGCCCATGCAGTCTAGGTCTTGTGCCAGGGAGCTAGTTCCACACTCTCTCTCTCTGATCCTGACGTGGGCACAGGAACACAGATTGATGTGGAGAAGGTAGACAGTAGAGGGACCCATGATCATCATGTAGATAGCCAATTAAATGATGTGCAGGAGGCACAAGGATAAGGGTCTCATTAGGTCTGGCTGAGGAGGAGGGATTTCCGGACCATGGAATAGGAGGAAGCCGATTTACTGGGACGAAGGACAGAATGAAGATGGTGACTGGAGAGAGCCAGGAGCTGCAGGCTCAGGGGGCATGGCTCCTCTACCCTCAGAGCACCCAGGGCTGAGGGCGTAGGGGTGGCACAGCCCCAGTAACGCAAGGGTACTCTGGTTAACAGCCCTTCCATCAGTGCTAAGGGTTGCGGGCACAGGGTGGTTCCGCGGGCCAGTGTGGGAAAACTTCCTGGAAGAGGGGCACGTGGAGGGGCCGACTTAACGTGACCCCATTGGTGTGTGTGTGTGCGTGTGTGCGTGTGCCTGTCTCCCTCTCATTCCTCACCATGCCTCAGGGGACAGCATTGCTGCAGGTGGGCACACGGACCTGAGCAAACTAGAAGTGTCCCTGACACTGACCCACAAGTTTGAAGGACTAGAGGCAGACACCGATGACTCCAACACGCGTAGCCTGCTTCTGAGGTGGGTGACGCTGGCCTCTGCCCCTCCCTCCCTGAGCTCCCGAGCCCTGAGGCCCGTAACATAGCCTGACTCTGAGGGGCCCATTCCACCTCCTTCCTGGGCTCCGTTATCCTTCAGGAAGCTCTCCCTGAAGCCTACCTTTATTCCCCTCGCGGCAGCCTTGGCTCTTTTCCATCTGGCATCCTTAGCTTTTCGCTCTGTGTTGTACTGAAGGTAAAGGAATGGCAAAGATATTGGCAACAGCAGGTGTCTGCATAAGATACTGTTTACCAAGTGCTTTTTTCTTTTTTAAGTACACACAAAGTCTCGCCTTGTTGTCCAAGCTGGTCTCAAACTCCTGGCCTCAAAGCCATCCACCTGCCTCAGCCTCCCAAAGTGCTAGGATTACAGGCTTGAGCCACTGTGCCTGGCCCAAATGCGTTTTATATGCTATCGTTTATTCTCAGGAAGCAGCTACGAGGTAGATGGTGGCTTCCCCTCTTCATAGTTGAGGAAAGACTCAGGAGTTACGTGATTTGTCCGAAGTTTCACAGCCAGTGGGTTGTAGAGCTCATGTTCTAATTCCACATTCTTTTTTTTTTTGAGATGGAATCTCACTCTGTTGCCCAGGCTGGAGTGCCGTGACTCTCAGCTCACTGCAACCTCCACCTTCTGTGCTCAAGCAATTCTCCTACCTCAGCCTCCCGAGTAGCTGGGAGTACAGGCTCCTGCCACCATGCCTGGCTAATTTTTGTATTTTTAGTAGAGATGGGATTTCACCATGTTGGCCAGCCTGGTTCTGAACCTCTGACATCAAGTGGTTTGCCTGCCCAGCCCAAAGTGCTGGGATTGCAGGTGTGAGCTACCACACCCGCATAATTCCACATTCTTGTTAAGTGTGATGGTTAGGAGATAGGCCTGAGCTTTTTCTTCCCCAATTCTGCAAAAGTGAGAAGGGCTGGGCTGCTCATCTGGGCAGACGAGGAGCCAAAGTACAAGCTCAAGCTCCCTGCCAACAAGGGAACCCCTTCCACCCGTTAATTCACTCATAACCAGTGAGCCGAGTATCATCTTTGTCCTGCCATCCAAGGGCTGAGAGCAGGGTTGGGCTAGGGTTGAACACAGTCAGAGCACCACCAACAGTGATGGGTGTCAGATGCATTGAGAGCCAGGGAGAAGTGATGGCTGGGCAGGGAGGACATGTGTGCTCAGCTGAAGGACTCAAAGGAAGATAGTTTGTGTGAAGGGTATTCTAGGCAACGTCATCCCCCATCCCTCGCGCTCTCTCCTTACCTCCTAGCAGCCATGCTATAGAGCAGGGTCCACTCACTCTCAGACCTCTGGCCAGTCCCATGTCCAGGCCCTGCCCTTGCCCCTCACCTTTCCTCCATCCCTGCCCTCCTTGTGTAGCACCAAGCAGCTGTTGGTGGATATCATACAGTTCCATCCTGGGGACACCCTCAAGGAGATCCTGTCCTCCTCAGCTTCCAGAGAGCAGGTGCGTGGCCGGGCCAGCCCCCAGGTTCTGTCTCATTCTTCCCCGCCTCACCCCACCTGCACCGCTGCTTCCCTCCTCTGAACTCACCCACAGAAGCAGATACCTGTGTTCACCAGTAATGAGTACTCTGGAGGCCTACCGGGTGAGGGGCACAGCCTTAGCTTTGGGAAGCCTCAGGCTGCAGAGTCATGGGGCCCCACCCATCTCCCTCCTGCACACGCTGAATCCAGCACCAACACTAGGGCCATGGGGGGCGCTGAGAGGCGATCTGGGAAGGCTCCCCTGGAAAGCCTGCACTCAGAAAAGAGTGGTCTACTAGAAGGCCTAGAGGCAGAAGGTGGTAGACCCGGGGCCAGGGGCAGGTTGGGCCAGCTGGAGTGAAGACTGAACCCAGGTCTTCCCAGAGAAAAGGTGGGGATGGCCACTAGAGGGATATATCAAAACAGAACAGAAGGGGAAATGCCTCAAACACCCTGTGCTGTCACAAAGGTCCATTGTTGTGAAGTCACTGCGGGTGTCTGTTCGGAGTCCTTTATGCTTCAGCTTCAGTTTGGCTTTCCTTTGGGCCACCCCTCCCCTGTGGTGATCCATGAGGCCCTCCCATGTGTGACACCGTGTGTTATGATGTTATACCTTTATTGTCTTCCTAAGCTATGCCCTGCCCAGCCATACCCTGAAGAGGCTGGGCTCTGGGGCACATTCTTTTTTTTTTTTTTTTCTTTTTTGAGACAGAGTTTTGCTCTTGTTATCCGGGCTGGAGTGCAATGGCGCGATCTCGGCTCACTGCAACCACCGCCTCCTGGGTTCAGGCAATTCTCCTGCCTCAGCCTCCAAAGCAGCTGGGATTACAGGCATGCGCCACTATGCCCAGCTAATTTTTTGTATTTTTAGTAGAGACCAGGTTTCACCATGTTGACCAGGATGGTCTCGATCTCTTGACCTTGTGATCCACCTGCCTCGGCCTCCCAAAGTGCTGGGATTACAGGCTTGAGCCACCACGCCCGGCTCTGGGGCACATTCTTAATGACACCCAGAAAAATGTTCAGGCCTCCCTTGGTTTTTGGTGCCCTTGGGGCCTTCCCTGGTGTGGGGACAGAAAGGTAGGGTCTGGTAGACCCCTCCAGCATCTCTGTGTCCCCAGGAAGCAGCCCATAAGCAGCTGATGAGCCAACGCCAGGCCTGTGCAGCCCAGACCCCGGAGCCACTGCGACGACACCGCTCGCTGACAGCTCACTCCCTCCTGCCACTGGCAGAGAAGCAGCGGCGCGTCCTGCGGAACCTGCGCCGACTTGAAGGCCTGGGGTTGGTCAGCGCCAGCAATGGCTACCAGGGGCTAGTGGATGACCTGGCCAAGGTAACAACCTGGGCCTGGGCTCTGTGTGCCCATGTGTATGTGCGTGCATGTACATGTTGATCCATAGTGTTGGCAGGCCCCTCCCTGATGAGTGCCCACCCAAAATTGTCACCAGCCAGGGGAAGGCTCAGGGTCATCTTTGAAGGAAAGATTTTTTTTTTTTTTTTTTTTGAGATGGAGTCTTGCTCTGTCCCCAGGCTGGAGTGCAGTGTCGCAATCTCGGTTCACTGCAACCTCCGCCTCCTGGCTTCAAGCGATTCTTCTGGCTCAGCCTCTCGAGTAGCTGGGACCACAGGCGCGTGCCACCATGCCCAGCTAATTTTTGTATTTTTTTAGTAGAAACGGGATTTCACCATGTTGGCCAGGATGGTCTCCATCTCTTGACCTTGTGATCCGCCCACCTCAGCCTCCCAAAATGCTGGGATTATAGGCGTGAGCCACCACACCCGGCCAATTTTTTTTTTTTTTAATCGAGACAGTCTTGCTCTGTCACCCAGGCTGGAGTGCAGTGGTGCAATCTTGGCTGACTGCATCCTTCACCTCCCGGGTTCAAGCGATTCTACTGCCTCAGCCTCCCAAGTAGCTGGGATTACAGGTGCCCACCACCATGCCTCGCTAATTTTTGTATTTTTAATAGAGACAGGGTTTAACCATATTGGCCTGACTGGTTTCAAACTTCTGATCTCAGGGTCTTCCCACCTTGGCCTCCCCAAATGCTGGGATTGCAGGTGTGAGCCACTGCACCTGGCTGCCAGATGTTTGTATTTTTAGTAGAGATAGGGTTTTACCGTGTTGGCCAGGCTGGTCTCAAACTCCTGACCTCAAATAATCTGTCTGCCTTGGGCTACCTACAAAGTGCTGGGATTACAGGTGTGAATCACCACACCTGCCCTGAAGGAAAGATCTTGAAATTAGGGAGGAGGTGTTCTTGCAACTCTCTCTCTCTCTCTCTTTTTTTTTCCACATTAGCCAGGTAACCTGCCCAGATCAGAACATTTGATGGTCGCAGACCTCACACATGAGTGTGAAAACCCAATCCTTTGCTTAAGACCTACAAAAGTATCCTTGCAACTTTCTTGTACTAAAAAACAAAGAGCGTTGAAACCAGTTAGTGTTCAATGGGAAGAGGCCCTGAGGACATGCTTTGAGGATTTGAGATACCATCCTTGAGATTGTCCTTCTAGGAAAACAGCATTGAAGCCTGCTCTTCTGAAGAGCCTCCCAGTGTATAGTTCTTGGGCCTGTGGCTCTCCTGCCCTAAGGCTCTCCTGCCAGGAAGGACCACTCATCCTTCCCACTGTTCCCCAACCTCAGGACATCCGAAGCCAGCACAGACACAGGCACAGGCGGAAAGCGGAGCTGGTGAAGCTTCAGGCCACATTACGGGGCCTGAGCACTAAGACCACCTTCTATGAGGAGCAGGGGGACTACTACAGCCAGTACATCCGGGCCTGCCTGGACCACCTGGCTCCTGACTCCAAGTAGGTGCTGCTTTCCTGCACTCAGAAGGTTATGTGTGACTTCTCACCTCGGCCCATGTCACCTTTACCCCACCATCTCCCAGCTTTAAAAGGGGAATCTCACCCAGCACAGCACAGTTCCTTCCTAAGTCTGGTCTTTGAGCCTCACTTACAAAGTCCTGGGCTCAAGTGCAATCCCCCTCCTCTGTCTTCCATCAGTGAGAAGTCTTCCTCGGGGTCTCATTTCCTTTCCAACCACAGGGAATGAGTGTCTTTGGTGGTAAAGAGTTTGTGGGATGAATTCTCTGGGGCCTTCTTTTAATCAGGAGTTCTGGGAAGGGGAAGAAACAGCCTTCTCTTCATTACACTGCTGCTCAGCTCCTGGAAAAGGGTGTCTTGGTGGAAATTGAAGATCTTCCCGCCTCTCAGTAGGTTTCTTTGGAGGGCAGGATGTCAGCCCCTTCCTGTCCTCTCACCTGGGGGTGGAACTCTGGGCTGGACACCGGGTGGAAGGGAAGGAGGAGCATGGTCCCGGCCTTGGAGGAGCTGCTAGAATGATGGTGGAGACAGAGCATGCCCAGACAGAATGTGAAGGACCATGGAATGGTCTAGCACAATTCTAGGTGCCCTGAGGCAGAGAGTACTGGGAAAGCTTTGGAGAGGTGAGAACAGCTGGATAGGGCAGGGCAGGTAAAGACATGGTGTCGGGAGCAGAAGTAAAACTGGGAGGAGACAGCCAGCTGGGCCCTCTGGAGTGACAGAGGGGAAAGCTGGCTCCGGATGACACTGCTGCCCAGGATGAGGAGCAGTGGGTGCAAGAATGTGGCCGTAGCCCTGGAAAGAGGCAGTGGGTTTCCTGTTTTGAATGTGGTTCCTGACAGCTTCAGAAACGTCATCTTTGACATCACCCCGGGAGATGAGGCAGGAAAGTTTGAAGTAAATGCCAAGTTCCTGGGTGTGGACATGGAGCGATTCCAGCTTCACTATCAGGTGAGAGGACAGTTCCATGAACCTGCAAGACACCTGCTGGACTTTAGATGCTGGCCTGAAGAGAACAGTGGCCTCACTGCCCTAGTCCTCAGATGACACCAGCTCAGCTCTTCAGTATCTTCTCTTCCTGAAGAGAAGGGTGAGGGTCTGTGCAGCCCAAGGCCCGCTTTCCCCATACCCTGACACCCCACTACCAAGCATCAGGGAGACTGGAGTAGGCCGCTGGTGTCAGAAGCAGGATTAATATTTGAAACCCTATCACATGTCAGGGACTTTACATGTTACCTCCTTTAATCCTCTCCGCAGCTCTGAAGTATTATCCCTATTTTACAGGCTCTGCGGCGAAAAGGTTAAGAAGCTGGCCTAAGTCATAGGCCAGTGTGTGTGTGTGTGTGTGTGTGTGTGTGTGTGTGTGTGTGTGTGTGTTTTTGAGATGAAGTCTTGCTCTGTCGCCCAGGCTGGAGTGCCGTGGCATGATCTCGGCTCACTGCAACCTCCACCTCCCAGATTCAAGCGATTATTCTTCCTCAGCCTCCTGAGTAGCTGGGATTACAGGCATGCACCACCATGCCCAGTTAATTTTTTAAAATTATTTTTAGTAGAGACGGGGTTTCACCATGTTGGTCAGGCTGGTCTCAAACTCCTGACCTTGTGATCTGCCCACCTCAGCCTCCCAAAGTGCTGGGACTACAGGTGTGAGCCACCACACCCAGCCGAGCAGTGGTTTCAAATCTTTTTGCTCTGGTGTTTTGTCTTTTGAATAAGAAAAACTATTTCAGCCGGGCACGGTGACTCACGCCTGTAATCCCAGCACTTGGGGAGGCCAAGGTGGGCAGATCACCTGAAGTCAGGAATTCAAGACCAGCCTGGCCAATATGGTGAAATCTGTCTCTACTAAAAATACAAAAATTAGCCAAGCATGGTGGCGGGTGCCTGTAGTCCCAGCTACTTGGGAGGCTTAGGCAGAAGAATCACTTGAACCCAGGAGACGGAGGTTGCAGTGAGCTGAGATCACGCCACTGCACTCCAGCCTGGACAACAGAGCATGACTCCATCTCAAAAAAAAGAAAGATAGAAAGAAAAGAAAAATGATTTCAAGCCCTGGTTCTGCTTGGATTGACATTGAAAAAGTCACCGTACCTCTCTTGCCTCAGTTTCTTCATTTGCGAAGTGGGTTCAGCGGCCTGCTTCAGTGGCCAGTGCCACTGGTGACTGCAGAAGCCCCATGATGTGAGTGTTTTGTACACTGTCTGGCTAGACCACATTCAGAATCCCTTAAACTCCCCTCCCTGCCTCTTCCCTCCTAGGACCTCCTGCAGCTCCAGTATGAGGGTGTGGCTGTCATGAAACTTTTCAACAAGGCCAAAGTCAATGTCAACCTTCTCATCTTCCTCCTCAACAAGAAGTTTTTGCGGAAGTGACAGAGGCAAAGGGTGCTACCCAAGCCCCTCTTGCCTCACTGGATGCTTTCCTTAACACTAACTCACCACTGCGCTTCTCTGCAGACACCTAGAGCTCAGGACTGGGCCAGGCCCAGGGATTCTCACCCCTTCCCCAGCTGGGAGGAGCTTGCCTGCCTGGCCACAGTGTATCTTCTAATTGGCCAAAGTGGGCCCTGCCTAGAGTCCAGCTGTGTCGCTTTTATCATGCATGATAAACCCCTGGCTTTCCTGCCAGATGGTAGAGCATGGGCCTTGGCCTAGGAAGGCCACTACTCTTGTATCTGCTACTGCCCTCCCATGGTCACCCCAATCTTACTCCAGCGGCTTGATGTCCCCACTGCCTTCCTTCTCTCTACACTCCCACAAAGCCAGGGCCAGGCTCCCCATCCCTACCTCCCACTGCATTAGCAGCGGGTGCTCCCTGCCTGCCTGAGTCTGGGCAGCTCTGCTGCTGTGATCTGCGTACCCTCCAACCCAGGCAGGGACTGAGGGTATGCAGTGTGCATTAATGCCCACGTGGCATTGCAGCACTGTTGGCCCCCTGGCAGCATGGGCAACATGACCTTCCATTAACCTCAAGCCTCGTTCTCGTTCGTAGTGTTTTATATGTGGGTCACTAGGGTATTTATTCTCTCTCCCATCCCTACACTCTGGATCATTGTGCAGCCTTAATCAGGGTTTTAATTCTTTGATTTTTTTGAGCTCAAAGAGAGAGTTCTCATTTTTCCTATTCAAACTAATATCCATACCAGTGGGTTGTTGTTGGAAACTGAGTTTCGCTCTCGTTGCCCAGGTTGGAGTGCAGTGGCGCAATCTTGGCTCACCACAACTTCCGCCTCCCAGGTTCAAGGGATTCTCCTGCCTCAGCCTCCCGAGTAGCTGGGATTACAGGCATGCGCCACCACGTCCAGCTAATTTTGTAGTTTTAGTAGAGGTGGGGTTTCTCTATGTTGGTCAGGCTAGTCTCGAACTCCTGACCTCAGGTGATCTCCCCGCCTCGTCCTCCCAAAGTGCTGGGATTACAGGCATGAGCCACTGTGCCCGGCCCATGCCAGTGTTTTATACCTTGGATTTAAAGTCAGTTTAGGTTGGGGCAACAGAGTTCTCACTCATATTTAAGATCTCCTTATTTCAGCTCCACAAGATCAAAGAGGAGTCGAGTCTTTCCCTTCTCTCTTACCTTCAGGATTCTCATGCCTTGCAGCTGACTCTTCCAGGCAATTTCCATAGATCTGCGGTCCTGCCTCTGTCACAGTCTCTGTTGTCCCCATATCTACCCAACTTCCTGTACTGTTGCCCTTCTGATGTTAATAAAAGCAGCTGTTACTCCCACATCTGTTAACCCTTATTTCATTTTCTGTGGAGCCGGCCTCCAAGTTCTGGAGCACATCTTCCCTGAGAGAGCTGGGGAATCCTTCCTGCAGCCTCCCCCAGCCCTCTGCCTGCCTCCTGTGTGGGTCCACTCTGCCTGCCTGAGCTCGTAAAAGCTTAATGAGATGTGGCATTTATTCTCTCTTCCCTCCCCCAGGGGACAGAGAGGAGGAAGGAATGCTTAGGTTTCAATTCTGTTTTTATCGGCCACTCTGAAGACTAAAGCTGAGAGGAGAAGCCAGTCTGACTTCTACCCTACCCGTTTCACACACGGTACCAGCAGGTTCTTTTCCTGAGCCTTGGGTAGTGATACCCACCAAGGCTCTTAAGCTTTAACCTCTTAGGTATTGTAGATTCTACACTCTGATCAAAATCTCCTTTCTAAGAGGAAAGCCCCCTCCTCTCCTCCTTGCTTTCAGAAAGTAGGGAGGGAAGTCTGCTGGGGAGGAGACAGTACAGACACTTGCCCTGACATCTGAACTCCCAGGCAGCCCCTGTTGGGGACACACCTTTGCCTGGTGCAGCCTGCCTCCCTCCATTCCATTCCATTCTGTCACTCAGGATCTGTCTTGCTGTCACATCCAATCTTAGTCACAGCCTCTCCCCCCCCTTAACATGTCACAGCAAAGACTTCAAGTACTGCCTTGCTCTGGGTGACAGTGACATTTACCAGTAGATCCAAGTTTCTACATGTGATCAGTCATGATTAAAAATCTCACACTCACCAAATGGCTGCCACTCTCCCCCACAATCACATGATCTCAGCCACATATACCACATATAGAAATGTCACAATAGCT